CATTAACTTCTTTTACGCTCGACTGGTTCATAATCGTGCTGGTTAAAGGGATATCATGGTTAAATTAATGATGAAGATAAACTTTACGATAAGCAGTTCCTGAGTTTCTTACTGGACACTCGACAAATCAATAATAAAACTCAAGTTTAAGAGTTTTTTATAGCAATTAAAAGTTAAATCAAAGTAAGAAAGTAAAAAGGAAATAGTGGACGACGGACGTGGCACTTAATAAATTTAGCAACTTTTTCAAAAGACAGTCGCTCTTGGTCTTATTACCGAATAATATTCATCAGCTAAGAGACATTACGGGAAGAGGGAGAAAATATCGAATTGCTAATATTCTGTTAACATTCTACTCAATCTACTATTATTACAGTAGTACTATTCTACTTTTAATTGTATATACATTTGCAAAGAAAAGTTCAATAAAAATAGGAAAGGCATACCATTGTCCGTCTCGCCTTGGTACATTCTGTGGACATATACTTTGTTTCTTCGGAATTTCTGAAGTATAATGTTTAAGTTCATGATATTCAACCTCATGGAATTAAAACCTAAAAAGCTCGTCCCACATCCACTAAATTATATGCAATATTTTGTGTACCAAAATATTATCTTTTTACCAAATAACTGGCACTACCTAACTAACCGACTTTCTTACCTCGTGTTTATTTTCGTGAACAAGTGCAACGCATTGACAGTTGGAACGACATACAATTGAAATCCTGTCACATCGTTTACTTCATTAGTTACAGATTCTAATCTGACGTATCAGAGCTACTTCAGCTAGTGTGTTATGTACAATTTAAGGTTAAGACTGGATCTGGAGGAATCATTTTAGGGCCTACGAAAAAATGTTCACCGGTATTTTGTCGAACTGAACATCCTGCACAGTGACGTGCACCCTCGATTTCCTTGAATCTTAAAAATGGCGAGCTTGAGGCCTGTCTTACAGGTTCTTATCCAATTTATCAGAGCTACTTCAGCTAGTGAGTTATGTCCAATTTAAAGGTAAGACTGGATCTGGAGGAGTCATTTTAGGGCCTACAAAATAATTTCTACCAATATTTTATTGAACTGAACATCCTGCACCCTTTGAACATCTGCATGCATCCTCAATTTCCTTGAATCTCAAAAATGGCGAGTTGGAGGCCTTTCTTACACTTACAGGTTTTTATCTGACGTATCAGAGCTATAAGATTCTGGAGAGGTTCGCTGTTTATCAGTCTCATGATAAGATAATGATTAATTTAATTTTAGCCTCTAATTTTAGCCTGATGGAAGTGTAGCACACTGAAAGCTCGCGTTTCCTCCTAAACAGTAGTTTCACTTGTCCTACCTAGTCTCTACTACCTAGTCTCTACTACCTAGTCTCTACTACCTAGTCTCTACTACCTAGTCTCTACTACCGGGTATTATCCCTGAAATCAGTATCAGAGCTACTTCAGCTAGTGAGTTATGTCCAATTTAAGGGTAAGACTGGATCTGAAGGAGTCATTTTAGGGCCTATGAAATATTTTCCACCAGTAATTTATCAAACTGAACATCCTGCACCATTTGAACGTCCTCGATTTTCTTGAACCTAAAAAATGGCGAGCTGTAGACCAGTCTTATAGGTTCTAATCTGACGTATCAGAGCTACTTCAGCTAGTGAGTTATGTGTAATTTAAGGGTACGACTGGATCTGGAGGAGTCATTTTAGGGCCTACGAAATAATTTCCACCAGTAACTTGTCGTGCTGAACATCCTGCACCGTTATTATGCATTTATTTTATTTTTTTCATATTCGGGTATAGCAAAAATTTGCTGATTCGTTTTTTAAACGCCTTACTCTTTTATGAACAAGGAAAGTGACAACATATTTTCAGAACAAAGAGGTATAAAATTATTTGATCATATTATTCAACATAACACAATGTTAGTTTAACTCAAAGTTTCGTTACACGAATAACCTCGGTTCAGATTTTATCAAGATGCAAGCATTGAAAAGCTTTATGAAATTAAAAGTTCTCACTTTTTTTAGTTTCACTTTGGCATGGCAATTAATAAAAGTGAGTCGAAGTTGTTTCCATGATATATACAACAGTTAATTCAATGGAACCAATGTGGGGTCCTTCTATGTAACTCAATTCATAAAATAGTAACCTTGACTACTGTAAATGGGCCGATATACAATTTTAGGGCACTTCAAACTTAAGATAATTTAAAGATATAAAACTTGGAACGCGCAGCAATAGTCCATACAATGTTATTGTAATTGTATTGGCAGATAAAATGAGCGTCTACTATGAAACAAATACAAGAATTGAAATAAGAAAATGGTATTATTTTCAGACGCCACTTTTATCTGACACCACTTTTTTTACTGTCAGGAGTTTGTCACTACACACGTTACTCATTAGTCACACGAGATAAATTAGAAAGTTTCTATTTCTTATGATTAATAATACAACACAGATTTATCTAATAGCATACGTGTTACACGGATCATGCAAACGAAATGGGAAATATTAGGAGTATGCGAAATATGCAGAATATGCAGACCTGCCTTCGGTACATAACAGGCAAGAATCTAATCTAGAGTTTTGTTAACAATACACATGATAAACCTCTGATTTATCAAGTTTAGTTTCAAATTATAAAATTGCCATAATATCACATACTTATAATCTTAGGAGTCTTTTGGTTGTTCAGTGTATTACTAAATGTTTTTGCTTCTAAACGAAACAGTTTGACGCCATTTCTGCCGTGTCATAGAACACTTTTGGAGAAATTTCAGGGAAACGTTACAGAAATCCAATGTAACGATCACGAAGTCACCAAGACGGGACGAATTACACACGCGATTGGACCAATCCTAGTCACATGTTTGTCTCCCTAATGACGTGTCCCAGCAATCTTCCTAATTTCGCACGAAACTAAGGCAACCGTGTCCTGGTAACCGTGCCCTGGGGAGGGTCCTATCTTCGGTAATTCTTGTAATTTCAGGATTCGTTTTGTCTGTCAGGCTTTCTCTCTCTCTCTCTCTCTCTCTCTTGTAACCGCTCTGTCTTCTTAACCAGATCACTGTAACCACCACCACCAGTATAGTGTAGGAGCTGTGAGTGTAGTGCAGGGCGAGTGTAACGTGGTTGGTCACGTGATATCAGTTGGAGACTGTAGCGGAGAGGAGGAGTAGGAGGAGAGATAAGCTGAGGCCGGTTACTGCTGAGGATGTGGGATCCAGTGGGGCAGGTAGTGTGTCGTGGTCTCTTGTGGACCTGCGGATAAAGAGGTTGTAAGAAACTTTAGAGTGGATTTTTAATTTGGGTTGAGCTTCAATATAGTTACATGTATCTAATCTCTATTAGGGCAAACAGTATGGAGTATTTGAATAACGTTCACTTCTGCTTTAGAATTTTTATTTAAATTTTGAATTGCGCTGATAAAAATGTATGATTGAGACGAATCTTCGAGTAGTTCACTACTATATAGTAAAAAGCTTATTTTACATTTTGTTAGCATATCCAATATTCATGAGTTTATTATCGGATGTTTAAGTTTAACTATGTTTATTATGATATTATTATTCATTGTAATATGGCAATAAAATTTAAATTTTGTTTTACTTAAATTTTGTTTTACTTAAGGTATAAACTATTAATGGCATTTTTCAATTAAAATTCAGTGAGAAAGTTGTGGTTTTTTCTAATCAAGCGCTGATAAACGGTGAATTTTCATTATTCACACTTAGAGGCAACTTTTGGTACCAAATTTATCAAAATCAGAGACAACAAATTCTGTGCCAGCTCATGGCGCTCATTACATAGCAGTGGCGTAGGACTGATGAAAAGTTTGAAAATTAGAAATTTTCAGAAAATGTGTTATTGGACTGCCGATCTGGGGAGCAACCTAGGGCCCTCTATATATTCATGCCCATTGTAGGCTGCATCCCCGATCCCCGAGACTTCGTCTTACTTTCGTCTGGTTTCCACTTTCTCTTCATACCAAGTTACTAGCTAGGTAACAAGGTAATCGAGACAGTTTTCAACGTAACAACGATTTCAGCCGGTTCGGACAAATCTTTATTCGAACCATTTGAACAACAAATCAGTGCACTTCCATTTGTACGCGCCCTCACACACTGTTCTAAAACCAAAGTTAACTTTATAACCAACATAGTTTACGAAACATTTACTTGAATGTACTGTTACACCTAATCAACCAGCCAATTTCACGCTATTACAACTCCCTGCAACTCCGAGAGCTCTTAATTACGCCTTATATGGTGCGTAATTGGGTCTGCATAATAGCTCAATATCACGCGCTATATATCCAACCAGTAAACGCGCTCAATCGATATCTCGTGACTGTCACGTGACAGCTATCCAAGGAAATTCTCTATATGGCGCTTCCGGTGGAAACTAGGAAAGAGCTAGTTTGAACATTAAGTAGGCGTGACACCGCTAATATTTATTAACTTCTACCGTAGTAAGGCATACCATTGTCCATCTCGCCTTGGTACATTCTGTGGACATATACTTTGTTTCTTCGGAATATCTGCAGAAGTATAATGTTTAAGTTCATGATGTTCAACCTCATGGAATTAAAACCTAAAAAGCTCGTCCCACATCCACCAAATTATATGCAATATTTGGTGTACCAAAATACCAAAATTATATGCAATATTTGGTGTACCAAAATATTATCTTTTTACCAAATAACTGGCACTACCTAACTAACCGACTTTCTTACCTCGTGTTTATTTTCGTAAACAAGTGCAACGCATTGACAGTTGGAACGACATACAATTGAAATCCTGTCACATCGTTTACTTCATTAGTTACAGATTCTAATCTGATGTATCAGAGCTACTTCAGCTAGTGAGTTATGTGTAATTTAAGGGTCCGACTGGATCTGGAGGAGTCATTTTAGGGCATACAAAATAATTTCCACCAGTATCTTGTCGTGCTGAACATCCTGCACCGTTATTATACATTTATTTTATTTCTTTCATATTTGGGTATAGCAAAAATTTACTGTTTCGTTTTTTAAACGCTTTACTCTTTTATGAACAAGGAAAGTGACAACATATTTTCAGAACAAAGAGGTATAAAATTATTTGATCATATTATTCAACATAACACAATGTTAGTTTAACTCAAAGTTTCGTTACACGAATAACCTCGGTTCAGATTTTATCAAGATGCAAGCATTGAAAAGCTTTATGAAATTAAAAGTTCTCACTTTTTTTAGTTTCACTTTGGCAATTAATAAAAGTGAGTCGAAGTTGTTTCCATGATATATACAACAGTTAATTCAATGGAACCAATGTGGGGTCCTTCTATGTAACTCAATTCATAAAATAGTAACCTTGACTACTGTAAATGGGCCGATATACAATTTCAGGGCACTTCAAACTTAAGATAATTTAAAGATATAAAACTTGGAACGCGCAGCAATAGTCCATACAATGTTATTGTATTGGCAGATAAAATGAGCGTCTACTATGAAACAAATACAAGAAATAAGAAAATGGTATTATTTTCAGACGCCACTTTTATCTGACACCACTTTTTTTTACTGTCAGGAGTTTGTCACTACACACGTTACTCATTAGTCACACGAGATAAATTAGAAAGTTTCTATTTCTTATGATTAATAATACAACACAGATTTATCTAATAGTATACGTGTTACATGGATCATGCAAACGAAATGGGAAATATTAGGAGTATGCGAAATATGCAGAATATGCAGAATATGCAGACCTGCCTTCAGTACATAACAGGCAAGAATCTAATCTAGAGTTTTGTTAACAATACACATGATAAACCTCTGATTTATCAAGTTTAGTTTCAAATTATAAAATTGTCATAATATCACATACTTATAATCTTAGGAGTCTTTTGGTTGTTCAGTGTATTACTAAATGTTTTTGCTTCTAAACGAAACAGTTTGACGCCATTTCTGCCGTGTCATAGAACACTTTTGGAGAAATTTCAGGGAAACGTTACAGAAATCCAATGTAACGATCACGAAGTCACCAAGACGGGACGAATTACACACGCGATTGGACCAATCCTAGTCACATGTTTGTCTCCCTAATGACATGTCCCAACAATCTTCCTAATTTCGCACGAAACTAAGGCAACCGTGTCCTGGTAACCGTGCCCTGGGGAGGGTCCTATCTTCGGTAATTCTTGTAATTTCAGGATTCGTTTTGTCTGTCAGGTTTTCTTTCTCTCTCTCTCTCTTGCAACCGCTCTGTCTTCTTAACCAGATCACCGGAACCACCACCACCAGTATAGTGTAGGAGCTGTGAGTGCAGAGTAGGGCGAGTGTAACGTGGTTGGTCACGTGATCTCAGTTGGAGACTGTAGCGGAGAGGAGGAGTAGGAGGAGAGATAAGCTGAGGCCGGTTACCGCTGAGGATGTGGGATCCAGTGGGGCAGGTAATGTGTCGTGGTCTCTTGTGGACCTGCGGATAAAGAGGTTGTAAGAAACTTTAGAGTGGATTTTTAATTTGGGTGGGGCTTCAATATAGTTACATGTATCTAATCTCTATTAGGGCCAGGGACAAAAGGATTTCGCGGCGATTTTGGCCAAAAATCGCGATACCGCGAATTAAATTTCGCGGTATATTAAACTATACATAAAATTTGTCGCAAATAATGGGAAAAATCGCGATTCCGTACATGCCGCGATTTCCTTTTGTCCCTGGTATGGACCATAACAATGCAATCTTATAATCGGCCAAATTTCTTTTTTTAACACGAAAGTGTTTATGATTCTCGTTAAAGTGTAGGACATGTTCCCCACTTACATGTTATCTCCCTCTTCTCCTGTGGGAACAGATTCTCTGGGAGGGGGGTCCCAGCACATGTCCTCTATATTAGCCTCTATCTGCGGAGTCGGCGAGGGTGCGATACCTGGCGGTTATGTTGGGTTAGAGGACAGGTTGGTGCCAGTTATACGGTCGCTTCAAGTTATAAATCTGATAATCTTACAGATAAATCAAATCAAACTCGATTGAAACTTACCGGTACTTTCATAGAGCATAGCTATCATTTCTTTAAGTCTTGCTTCCTGTTGAGACAACATGGGGTCCCCCAGAACGCGCTGAAAAGACAAAATAATATGAAATTGGGAACGTTAAAATAGTGTGAGGATCACAATATGCAAAGTTTTAAAATCTGGAGAGTAAAAGCTTACAACTATAATAATGGGCCGAGCAACCGGCACGCGTATTTGACAGACAAATAACACAGCGCGCGCTCATACACGCATATCCGCGAAATTCGGGGCACTTGCATCATTAAAGTTGCACCGCGCGCGCTCACTAGTCAAAAATACAAAACACTACTCATGTACTGCGAGTTTGCAGATTTGGAATATTCATTCTCCACGCTTGTTCACGTGTGAAATTTAATCACGTCGCATGGTCTACTGTCCAGACACCAGGACAAGGTAAAACCCACAAGTCCTTATAACAGACAGGAAATGTAAACACTCAAAAAGTTTCGTTAAACAAACAAAGTAACAGTGAAGAATATACCTGTGTTGGATTTGGAGGGTAGAGACCATTGTCAGCTATGTGACAGTTGTAAGTAGACATTGCAGTGCCATTCCAACAATGGTTTTCTGAACCTGTGACAGGGCGTGGATTTTGTTAGCATTTTATCGGGGCACATCGTGTTTAATCAGTTTTGGTATTCTTAACCGGAAAAGACAAACTTCAAATCTTACCTCACTTCAAAGGTTAAAAGATAAAATAACAATGAAGAACAGGAAGGTACAAGACGGTATGTATGGAATGTACAAAATTAAAGGGGAACCGACCAATCTGAGAGGAATCCTGTATCTTGTCACAGAGTTGGTAAGGCAGAGTGTCGAACACATTCTCAAATAACTCCAACTCCTCTGATAGCCGCTCCAGGTGGTACTCTAACGTTACCCTCCATGGATCTGAAATACAGATAAATTAGTTTCCAAAAGTTGTTAAATTGGATAAGCAATGAAACGGCATCAAGTAGGTGATATCTAAAATTACATCTCTAGCCTACAAAAAAGGAACATGGTTAGAAAATTAGTTTAAATTAGTTTCTAGTTATATCAACGGTGATTTATTAGTAAATTAATATTGTGTTAATATTGTGATATTAATATGTTAAATAATCTTGATGAAAGGGCCTCAAGTGATATGTTTTGAACTGGAATGACCTCATTCTAGAATAAAATGTCCTTATTTTCGAGGTATGCAATAAAATTTGCGTATTTTTGACTTAATCGAAGAAATAATAGTGATTAGTATTATGTGACCCCACACTCTTCTCAAAAACGTGTTTCATTTCCCCAAATCAGGCGATATTTCAGTCGAATTCCTACAAGTGAAAGTAACCAGATACCGCATTTTTAATTCAGTCCCCAGACTTACCAATACAGCTACTCAACAGTGCCCAGCCAGTGGGCAGGGACCGTTTTAATGATATTACCGCTCTCTCTCTCTCAGTTAATTGGGAACAAGGTTACAATCTTCACTAACAGCCCTCTTCCCTCTTCCCTCTTCGTTAAGCGTGTGCCAGCTACCCTAATGTCTACTCACGTAGTGTGCCAGCTACCCTAATGTCTACTCACGTAGTGTGCCAGCTACCCTAATGTCTACTCACTAATGTCTACTCACGTCTGAAAACCCACACTTCAGGAAATTAGTAAATACAACAGCCTCATTTGACACTTGCCAGGACGTTAGGACGGTTTGATCAATTTGGTTGGCTGTTGAACGTGACTTCACGAGGATGGAGCGATCTTATTGGCTTAACCTGTGATTCTGTTGTAAACTAGGGGGCTACGATAATAAACAATTAACAGACGTCTAATGAGATTACACAATATCCAGTTACCGGCTGTTCCTGGTGTATGACACCTGAACAGTGTACTGAACATCCAGTGTAAAAATTTAGGGTTTCTTATAGGAACATTCGGCGTCGTATTTCACCCAAACTTCAGCCCTCTTTATATATCTTCAAACCACCAGTATATATACAGCAGAACTATGTTATCATGATGGCACGAGTACCACGCTCATTCAGTGGGGTATAGAGTGTTTATTAAACTAATTAAATGTAATTTATATAGTGATTAAGTTAATTAAACGTGACCCGGTGACAGGATGATAGTAGAGGAGGAAGGGGGCGAGACCACCTGTCTCCCCCTGGTATTACGTCAGATTGAGACCGTGTCTATCTGTAACTACGTCAGGCACCATTACTTAATACCTACCACCACAATATGGTGGATTAGTTAGCTCCTACCTTTAAGGGGGCATACACCAAAGCAGGATAGTGATTCTTAGATCTATGTTGTTTTTTTCCTCGACAACTGCTTTAGTGGTATAACAGTAAATCCACATAATAATCACATTTATCAGTCATTCAGAGATTAGGAGTATTTTGTGCTACTTTTTTACATTTTGTATCTATAATAATATATATTTGAAGTCAACATTGGCCAGTAAGCAAAGCTGGTCCCCAATCAATCAAAACATATAATACAAACATGATATAGCTCAGTAGATAGGACATATTGTAATGGTGTATATTACCAATGAGAACATCAAGAGGGTATCTTGTACACAACATGTGGATAACAAGAGGTTCATGTTATATTGAGTTTAATTGAGTCTCATTTCTTGGATCTAGGGGTTATAATAATATTAAGATATGACCATCTTATAAAATCAAACCGAAATATAAAACATATATCATAAAATATCAGTCAAGTTATATTATCAAATCAACAGTTCACTCGGATACTGGCAGAGTCTTGTAGTTCGAGCTGATAGACCTATAGTTCAGACTCACCTTTATTGCAGGTTACATTATGTCTGTCAACTAGCGACAAAGAATTCAGGAGAAAAGATGGCGGTTTTGAGAAACTCCCTGCACATTCCAAAGCTATGACTCACTTTTACTTTTAGACACAATAGTTCCTCGGTCTGACCAAAAACCCGCATAATTTTCGGACAAGTCAATTGGTCAATTGGATAACGATAATACGGATAATTTATCCTACTATTATACGCTTTATCAAGCACGGTACTCAATTACACTTAACCTCAACCTCCCCAAAAATTTCGGTCTTTCCTCAACTTTACCCAAATTCCAGCCTAATTTCACACCATAATGAACGTAAACAGGATTTTAGCAGCGGATATTTGGGTGGAAGAGGTTAGTGAGTGAGGTTGTTTCTGACACATCAAATCAAATTTGTGTCAGAAACGAGGTCTGTTTGTGGGAGGAAAGGGTAAAATTAGCCTTGATTAGCTGGAACATATTAACTTTTAAACACAAGTTTAATAATATCATGGGGATTGTGTTTAGATCCCTTCAGAGACGGCTCCCACCACAATCCAAAACATAATATCTATGTTTAACTTTCCCACAAAGTTTTGGTTTATTTTCCTCCTCGTGATCTCTCAACTCTGTGCAAGAGTAATAATTATGTAATTATGTAATTAATAATAATTAATAATTATGTCACAAGAGCGATTAAACAGGTGACCAATTAGTTTGCAAGTAAAGTTAAACCATAGTTGTACAACAACTTTTAATACTTTCAACACTACTATATATAACAAATAATTTGAGATCATGAATACGATGTTGTCACACTGAAACGTTGAATAATTCCTTTCCTGATAAGAGCCTTTTTCTTGTCGCACCGAAAGGGAACAATATAAATTTTCCCAAGAAAACACAACAACTTAGTAGTTAGAAGAACTTTAGGAATTACAGTTATACAATAACTTATACAATATTATACAGCATTACTGTCAGTAAAGAATGATACCCAAATCGGGACCAGATCAGCATTGCTTCGTTTATTCACTTACTTAAATTCCTGCTTCTTTCCCTTATAGCGCCAACACCATTCCGCAAGGAAAAACAGCAGAGATATCATTAATAAATGTACGATTTAAAGAGATAAGAGAGATAACCCAGCTCCTCTCCAACATTTCTATATACCCCGGCCTACTGCAGTCTGCCCACATGTGTACAAGGTAAAGGTACCCCGGCCTACTATAGACTACCCACATGTGTACAAGGTAAAGGTACCCCGGCCTACTACAGACTGCCCACATGTGTACAAGGTAAAGGTACCCCGGCCTACTACAGTCTGCCCACATATGTACAAGGTAAAGGTACCCCGGCCTACTACAGTCTGCCCACATATGTACAAGGTAAAGGTACCCCGGCCTACTACAGTCTGCCCACATATGTACAAGGTAAAGGTACCCCGGCCTACTACAGACTGCCCACATGTGTACAAGGTAAAGGTACCCCGGCCTACTATAGACTGCCCACATGTGTACAAGGTAAAGGTACCCCGGCCTACTGCAGACTGCCCACATGTGTACAAGGTAAAGGTACCCCGGCCTACTATAGACTGCCCACATGTGTACAAGGTAAAGGTACCCCGGCCTACTATAGACTGCCCACATGTGTACAAGGTAAAGGTACCCCGGCCTACTATAGACTGCCCACATGTGTACAAGGTAAAGGTACCCCGGCCTACTGCAGACTGCCCACATATGTACAAGGTAAAGGTACCCCGGCCTACTACAGACTGCCCACATATGTACAAGGTAAAGGTACCCCGGCCTACTATAGACTGCCCACATGTGTACAAGGTAAAGGTACCCCGGCCTACTATAGACTGCCCACATGTGTACAAGGTAAAGGTACCCCGGCCTACTGCAGACTGCCCACATATGTACAAGGTAAAGGTACCCCGGCCTACTATAGACTGCCCACATGTGTACAAGGTAAAGGTACCCCGGCCTACTGCAGACTGCCCACATGTGTACAAGGTAAAGGTACCCCGGCCTACTATAGACTGCCCACATGTGTACAAGGTAAAGGTATCCAGGCCTACTATAGACTGCCCACATGTGTACAAGGTAAAGGTACCCCGGCCTACTATAGACTGCCCACATGTGTACAAGGTAAAGGTACCCCGGCCTACTACAGACTGCCCACATGTGTACAAGGTAAAGGTACCCCGGCCTACTATAGACTGCCCACATGTGTACAAGGTAAAGGTACCCCGGCCTACTACAGTCTGCCCACATGTGTACAAGGTAAAGGTACCCCGGCCTACTATAGACTGCCCACATGTGTACAAGGTAAAGGTACCCCGGCCTACTACAGACTGCCCACATGTGTACAAGGTAAAGGTACCCCGGCCTACTATAGACTGCCCACATGTGTACAAGGTAAAGGTACCCCGGCCTACTACAGACTGCCCACATATGTACAAGGTAAAGGTACCCCGGCCTACTATACACTGCCCACATATGTACAAGGTAAAGGTACCCCGGCCTACTATAGACTGCCCACATGTGTACAAGGTAAAGGTACCCCGGCCTACTATACACTGCCCACATGTGTACAAGGTAAAGGTACCCCGGCCTACTACAGACTGCCCACATGTGTACAAGGTAAAGGTACCCCGGCCTACTATAGTCTGCCCACATGTGTACAAGGTAAAGGTACCCCGGCCTACTATAGTCTGCCCACATGTGTACAAGGTAAAGGTACCCCGGCCTACTACAGACTGCCCACATATGTACAAGGTAAAGGTACCCCGGCCTACTACAGACTGCCCACATGTGTACAAGGTAAAGGTACCCCGGCCTACTACAGTCTGCCCACATGTGTACAAGGTAAAGGTACCCCGGCCTACTATAGTCTGCCCACATGTGTACAAGGTAAAGGTACCCCGGCCTACTGTAGACTGCCCACACGTGTACAAGGTAAAGGTACCCCGGCCTACTACAGACTGCCCACATGTGTACAAGGTAAAGGTACCCCGGCCTACTACAGACTGCCCACATATGTACAAGGTAAAGGTACCCCGGCCTACTACAGACTGCCCACATGTGTACAAGGTAAAGGTACCCCGGC